TTGGACATAGATATATTTTTTTAAATGTAATGATATATTTTATACATAATTTGCCTCCAGGATTGATCTATTGACATAAAATGAGGTTACTAACCTGTCGTCAATCAGTCCTCTATTGTCTTGGATGACTAGTTTCGGGGTTAAAACCCCATTTCCAAATCTCTTCTATCGTCAAATGTCAAACATATTTTCTTGCATAAGCCGTCGTCAAAATTACTTTACACATACACATAAACACACGCGAAAACATTTACACAGATGTCGTTTTTACTGACGACGAAATTAGTATTCTTAACAAAGGACTAAAACATTGTTTATCAGGTGGAAATTGGAACAAAAATTTGATATCTGAAATACTAAATGCTGAGATTGCAATTTGTTCTATCAATGACGAAAACTCCAGAAATTATGTGAGATATGTAATAGATAAGAAAATAAAATCTATTTTAGATAGTAAGAAACATAAAAATAATTCTCAAAAAGTTGAAATTAAACTTATAAAGGCAATAAAAGAAAAGCTAGTAACTAATGATTGCATAATCGCTAAGGCAGATAAAGGACAAACTGTTGTGATAATGAAATCTTTGGAATATAATGAAAAGGGGTTACGATTTTTACGAGACAATAACATAAAAGAAATTCCTAATGATCCCACAGAGAAATTCCAGACTGCCTTAAAAAACGCAATGAATAAATCACATTTCATTTTAGATGGGAAAAAGTGTAATCACCTGAAAATGATTAAGCCTAAAGCACCAGCACTGAAGGGGCTACCTAAAATACATAAAGAACATATACCGATGAGACCTTTAGTAAATTTTACCACTGCACCATCATACAAAATATCAAAAATACTAGACAGGATACTTCGGAGCAACATAAAATTGAACAACAACCACAGTCTTAAAAATAGCCTAGAGTTAATTGATTTTACTAAAAATATGAAGATAGAAAATAGGCACACCCTAGCCTCACTAGACATAGTAAACCTGTACACAAATATCCCAGTTCAGATAACTCTTGAAATTACAAAAAACAACCTGCTAACTTACTCTGAACTTGAAGCCGATGCCATAAATGAGTTAATTAATTTACTTGAAATAGTTCTGGAACAAAATTACTTTTCCTTCAACGGAAAATTCTATCTACAGGAAGAAGGGTTAGCCATGGGCTCTCCACTGTCTAGTATTCTTTCAGAAATTTACCTCAACAGTTTTGAAAATGGACATATTTTCTCCGAAAATAACAAATTTGCTAGTAAAATTAAATTCTATAAAAGGTATGTTGACGACACTATTGTTATATTCAATGGAAATGTGAGACAGTTAAACTTGTTCAATAATTATTTGAACAGTATATACAATAATCTACAATTCACCTTGGAGACTGAACAGAATCATTCCATCAACTTCCTTGATCTATCATTAATAAAAAACAACAATAAACTTACATACAGAATTTACAGGAAACCTACAACCACCGACCATACTATTCACGCCACTTCAAATCATCCACAATCTCATAGAATGGCCGCATATAATAGTTTAGTGAATAGACTCTTAAAAGTGCCAATGACCCAAGAAGATTACAACATTGAATACACAATTCTAAAATACATAGCAGTAAATAATGGTTACTCAAGCAGCATTATAGATAAGATAATTAATAAACAGAAGAACAAAAAGTCTCCAGATGAAACTAATTCTAAATTCGTATCCATTGAGTTTGGCAATAATCTACATTTCACTTTGAAAAATGAATTAAGAAAACAAAACATCATTCTGGCATGTAAGACTACCAATAAATTAGAACAACAATTGAACACATCCCCTCCTGATAATGGTAACAGTCTTGAAACATCTGGCGTGTACCATGTATCATGCAACGATTGTCCCAAAGTATATATAGGCCAATCAGGTCGTTCATTTAGGAAAAGGTATGTAGAACATCTTCCCAAGCCTAAATTGCAAACACAAAAATCGAAGTTTGCAGAATACCTAATGAACGAAAATCACAATGTCAACAGTTGTATAGATAATTTAGAGATATTACACAAATGTAATAAAGGTAACAAAATGAACGTTCTTGAAACCTTTGAAATTTACAAAGCAATCAAAAATTCCCCAAATGATGTTTTGAAGGAGAAGTTAAATTTTGGATCAAACATTTTATTTGATAGAGTGACCAAACTACAGAACAATAGAAGAGATAAACAGCTGGTTCCCCTCCCCCAAGGTCAACACCATCAAGTAGGCATCGGCTAACCTACACTCTTATCAAACCCCGCAATCCGCAGTCTGGTTTTGTCCTTGGCCGGCCTCACGGGCATGTACATGATTTGTAAATATAAATGTTTTCGTGTGTGTTTATGTGTATGTGAGAAGTAATTTTGACGACGGCTTATGCAAGAAAATATGTTTGACATTTGACGACAGAAGAGATTTGAAAATGGGGTTTTAACCCCGAAACTAGTCATCCAAGACAATAGAGGACTGATTGACGACAGGTTAGTAACCTCATTTTATGTAATGATATAGTTGTGACACATAATTTCAAACAACGTTTTTACACTGATTTCAATGCCAAAATCCGTTTTTAAAATCTTTTTTCGTTTAGAATATATGTTCAAACGAAAACTCTCCCTCATACATTTCTTATGGACGTTTTGTTGTTTGATAATATTTAAAAAATTATTTTTCTTATATCTCCAGTTCTTATTAATGGTTGCAGTTCTTTATATCCTTAAAATATTCAGTAATGTAAGGGCTTCCATTTGAACTCTTGAGCATTAAAATCAGACGAGTTAAAGACCAGCTACGAACCTCAGAGCAATATCAATTTAAATTTTTTCGTAATATATTTTTATTAAAAGATTAATAACTCGGGTTGTTAATACGTCACCAAGTTCTTTCTGGTCTCAAATTAAATTACTCAGTAAATGTTTGGCTTTGATTTAATTAATCATTAAACAAAATCTGACAATTTAAAAATGAGTCATTAATCTTCATTTAACAGTAAATTATTTCTTTTAGAAATTTATCTTTAGTTAAGGACGTATATCCCAAACCCTAATAACTTCCAAAAAGTAATCCATAGCTAAAATAAAATTCAATAATGTTACGAATTGTTTAAGACTATAATAAGTTTTGGGAGTAATTTAGAATTGGGGATATACGTCCTTAACTAAAGACAAATTACAAAATAAATACATTTTAATGTTAAATTAAGATCCATGACTCGTTTTAAAATTGTCAGATTTTACTACTTTTTTCCTACTTTTTACCTCTTACCGAAGAATTGAACGTATCAATGATCAGCATTACACATAGTATAAATGTCAACCCTTAGTATGTCTTTTCATTTTTATCCAAATGCTGAATTTGTGTCACAAACGCTGAATGTTTACAGCTGTTATGTTAAGCATACCAAAAGCTAGATTAGAATTGAAGCTTCAGCTGCTAGACTTTTTAAAAATTAAAACTTTATTTCTAAAAAACTGGGACCCCAAACTAAAATTATGGCTTCGACATTCCCTAGTTCTCAAAATTATCTTTCTTTCAATAATACAAAAATCATGAAAATCCGTCTATAGTTCGGCCGCTTAGAAAACGACCTGCGCGCTAATGCTAAACCAATGCTGGAGGAGGTCGCTATCTAAGCGGCCGAACTATAGTGGTTGATTCAGAATCGTGAAATAAAAAAACCCTGTTACGTTTTAATATTATAGATGAGGTGGTTTAATATTATAGATGAGGTGGATACTTATTTTTCTCTTTTAGCGAATTTCCCTATAGGGAAGTAGTTATTACCGTAGGTCTCATGGTAGGCCTAAGACCTAGGCCCAGGATCGATTTACTTTTTCATTTTGATGTCCCCAGAGGCCAAAAACACCATTTGTTCAAATTATATGTGTGTGTGTGTGTGTGTATATATGTGTATGTGAGTGTGTCCATCCAGACGATAACTTGAGTAATTTTTGTCCAATTTTGATAAAATTTTGTTTGAAGGTGTAAGGCGGGATAAACTTGAATGAGTTTGCGGACCAGCATGATCGGACCATGGGAACGGGGTTTTAAGGGGGGGTTTATGGGGTAAAAATGGGTTTTTCTCATTTTTTACCCTTAACACATTCACTGCTAATGATATGTAATACTTTTATAAATGGCTAAAAAACATAAACATTAACATGATCATGTTAATTGAGTGACAATATATCTTTAATTAAATAAATTTTATACTATAAATTGTGGATTAAAATATATTATGTAATTATATACATCATGTATTATATATCTGCTAATATACTTATGACGCACAAGTGCGTCATTAGCAGTGAATGTGTTAAAACACAAAATTTATCAATTTTTCCAGACCTTTTTAAAGAGCTTAAAAAAATAATCTCAAAAGAAAATTCAAAAAGTTGTTAATATAAAATTCTTATGATATTCTTATGGAGAATATTATAAAATGTTTTAGTTGGCTTGTTTATGGATATATTTTGATCAAACGTGGTGGATTTATTTATTTCATACTAAACTATTGATATTTTAATAAAAAACTAACTTTTTAGTTTCCCTGTAACAAAAATCAATCAAAATCAAATCAATCAATCAAAATCAATGAAAATGTATCAGCTAACCTAGTTACTTGTTAAACATAAATGTTAAAACTTAAAATAATAAATTGATTGAAAATCAATCTAGGCAAATTAAAATTTGCTTAGTCGGCAGGTTTGCTCCAGCGGGGTATTTTTCTTTTATTTTAGTTATACATATGACATATACATTATACACAGTTATTTATATATAGGACATATTGTGTTACAATAAATATATAAAAGACATAAGAGGACATAACCTAAAAAAGATTAACAGAAACTTATGAAAAAAAGGCTTAGGGTTTAAAGTGTTAAAATCTTATCTTGCAGTTTTTATTTGAATCCTCAATGCTAATGTTTAAAATGAATAATATTTTTAAACTGTTTATAAATATTATTACAGCCCCATGCTGTGTATGCAAAGGACGTTTTAGACATTGAACAGTTTTCTACGGTAAAAGGAGTCAATCTAGATGCCACAGACGATACGTTCTACAGCAAGTTCAACACTGGGTCTGTTTCAATACCTTGGCAAAATGAGGTTAGTTATCACTAGGTCTATTTCACATTTTAATACTAATTTTCAGCTCTTGGTGCTTAAACCAAATGTTAACGATAAACCGAAGTTATTAATAGCGCGGACAGTTATTCAAAGTGTAAGCTTGAATTTTACTAACCAAATATAATTTTATTATTAAAATATTAACGAAACAAAAATAATATGAAATTGCAAAACTTTAATAGAAATGTCATTTGAGTATTATAATGTAGAAAGAAAACAGGGTGTCTACCAGTCGGGAATCACGGGAAATTCGGGGAAAAGTTTGGGATTTTGAAAGGTTGGGAAAAGTCGTGTAAAGTAATGAATTACGGCTGAAGGTCGGGAATAATCTAACCATTCAAAATTAAGGGATGAACGGGTCTCAAAACTTCAGAAAATTTTTGGGGTTTTGTATTCCCGATCATTGGGATAGGATTACATTTGATATGGGATTTTCTTGATTCGCTCCGATTGTTGGCGATTTCGCTGCGTCACAAGTGATGATGATGAAGTTTCTGTGATCGTAAAAAATGGTGCCGTGACCACAGGACATGTTGACGATGGTGCCTCGACCGTGGGAAATGTTGATGATAAGTAATGACCGCGGCCGTGACCGCAACATAGTATGTTGGTGATGGTACTATGACCTTGACCGTGAGACGGAAAAAGGTGTAGTAACATGGAGAATGGACAGAGTTATTGGTCAGGATTTTTTTTATGGTAATTAAAAGTCAGAAATTCCTTTTGAGAAATCTGGTAGACACCATGAAAAAATAATAACAAATTGGAATCAAAATGAAAAAAAGAGAAAAAGATGGAAGAAAAGGTATGAGGGATACATGGGCACTGCAACTCGGAGGAGAGGATACCTTATTATATTGCCTCATACTGAGCTGATAGTAAAATGTGTATAAACCACAAGTGTGTTGTCTGCAGATGATAGAGACAGAGTGCTACAAGGAGCTGACTATTTTCGGGTCCAGTGGAACCCCAACTCCAGATCTTGTTCTTGATGCTGTTCCCGAGCCTGAGAAAAAAGGCTGCTTCCCCTTCCGAAGAAAGGTAACCTTATTGAGCACTTGAACGTTACAAATATTTTGGTCCATCCTCAATAGTCTATACTCCATTGAGTTTTATATAAAAATTAACTTTGAATATTTAACTCTCAAAACAAAAAATAAGTGTCTGAAGTCGATAGATAAAGGTTGTGGTTTAAATCAGCCTTCAAAAAGGAATCACTGTAGTATTAGTATTACTTTTCATGCTAAACAGATTATTATTTAATTCATGGAATCGAAGCTCATTTATGTTTATTGAACAATTTTACTGTAAAAATATATTATTAGAAATATTTTTTGCTGTATATATGTATTCTTGCATTTGATCATCTTTGTTTTTAACAATTTTATCGTTTTTGTGTAGCGGAAACAGAATGCAAGAAGCCGACCTGTTCCAATTGCTGATCACTATCTTAAGCCTGTTTGCACAAACACGAATGCCAACTCTAATGCGTGTGAAGACGCAACTAGCTGATCTACCTCTTACATACTCACCTAGAAACTAATTTTCTGGACTGGGCACTGGGCACTCCCTGGACAACTCAGCCCTACTACTCATAGCTTTCTACTTGATGTTACATGTCGTTTGTCTTAACTTAACAAGGTGAAATGCATTAGCTATAAACATTATTGTAATCTAGAGCTGGGTTCAAAATCTCTAGTGCATGAGTGATGCGATCATTTTGTTTTAGAGATGTTGTGAGTGAAAACTAAAACCATCACTTTTTCAGTAGACTAGCTACAATGAATAGCAGTAGGTTACCTATTTTCTGGTAATATTTCTAGTTGTGTCAAATAAAATTTAATAATTTTAAATCTTTAAACTAGACTAAGTAAATCAGTTTATTAAATAAGCAAATATAAAATAAAATTAAACATTAATCACGTAACTGGCTTGAAATTAAAAACTCTCTCTGGGTGACATACAAGTTAAGTTTTAATTTCTTGTCCAAAAGACCAACCAAAAATATGTCCCATTCAAGAAAATAGTTATTTGTGCAACTAGTGAGCAAAGGGAGCAATTGACTCACTCGAGAGAAATACTTACGAGCCGTAGGCGAGTGAGGAATGGTTTCTCGAGTGAGGCAATTGCACCTTGCACTCGAGTTACACATTATATTTTTCCTACAGTTACCATAAAACAAATAAATTGGTAAAGAAATGTGACATATATTTACACAGAAGTGAACTTTTAATATTACATTTAATGATACAACAGTACAACAGCTGACCAGCTGATTTACAGCCAGTGCTGCCAACGTATTTCGCATGCATACGACCTTGTCTGCATGTTACGCGCTCACTATTTTGTGCCTTCACGTTGCAAATCTGGAGTGAGTGAGACAAAGTAATTAGAGTGAGACAATGTTATTATTGTCTCACTGATGAGCGAATTGGCCACTTTGCTTTCTCAAATCAGTGAGAGAACATGTACATTGTTAGGTAACTGTAGGAAAAAACCATTTGTTAAGTCCTAAGAACTGAGTTTCTTTCAAAAACTGAAAAACATGCAAAAAATTGTAAGCTAAAAGCTAAAATGTAACTTTCGTTTGTTACCAACCACAGTTCAAAGAAATCTAAAATCTGATAACTGTCAATAAATCTTTTTTCATGCTCAATGCAAATTTTTCCAATGTAGTATGAAAACACTATCCTTGGTTTTTTTTAACAAAGATAAGATTGTAAAATAGATAAATTTAATAAATTTGTGTTCATTTAATTTCTTTCATGAAAGACCATATGAAATCCTTTAAATTGTACAAATAATTTTATATTTTAAGAGTTATTTTTTATGTATGTGTATGGAAAGATAATAGTTTTTCTGTTTGTTTAATGTTTTGTAGTACTGTAGTTTAACAACATTCACCAATCAGTTGGAGGGAGTGCCCAATACACTGCTTTGTAAAGGTTTACAAACAACCTCCATCAGTTTCAATCATTGTATGTTTTTGTAGTTGTTTGGATTTCAGAAAGATTGATTAATTATAACAAATCTAAAGACCCATTTAAATTATTATGTACATTAAGTTAGTAAATCATGATGATTTTTATATATGCTTTGAATATTTTTAAACTAGAGGTGTACAGATAGTAACATTTCAGTTCCCATCGGGAAAATACTATATTGCATAATCATGATATTTTAAATCATTGACCTTTTGCAAGGCATACTTTGGTACTGTCGTTTCGTCGGTAAAAATAATTTACTAGCATTGATGTGCCTGTGATTGAAAACCAATCATTGTTTACATGATTTAAAAAAAAACATTAGGTACTGGTTGCTCATTAAAAAGTATAAAATCAAACATACTTTTTTTAATACTTTTTCAATGAAATGGCGACCATACAAAGATAATTACAACTCTTGCCAGAAGAGTGAAAAGATACAAACATAAAAATGTGGTTATTCTTTCTCTTTGTTCTTCTATTCATTTTTGGGTTCTCTTCATCCACACATTCAACCAGTTTCCATGGTTACATATCACCCAATTACAGGCTACTAAAGTTCCCAAGATTACTGATCACCCAATCAGACTACTAAGCCTTATGTTGTTCAGTTCCGGATAATGATATCTGTTGTGACGTTGTGCACAGCTGACAGATGTGTAAGGAGCAGACAAATTTTCAGTGCAAGCGTGTTGTCACCGTAGATCTCTAGATCGATATTTATTTTTCTACTTCTGTTTTAGTTTCATCAAATTAACTGTGATACCGTATCCCAAACACAAAAATGTGGAAGCCTACTGCATATCAATAATAGGCAGAAATAGTTTAATAAATACACAATGCTTTTAAACAGGGTGTCTAGTAGTCGGGAAAATTGGGAAAGTCGGGAATTAGTATTGAATTTCAAAATGGTCTTGAAAAGTCGGGATTTAGTCTTAAATTTGATTTCAAAGTCGGGAATTTTCATGATTTTGCCGTGATCGTCGTCTTGCGTTTACGTAACCGCAAAATCCAATGATGATGTCTACACGGCCTCGGGAAATGTTCACGATTTTGCCGCGATAGTGGACGACGACGATAACGTTTCCGTGACCGCGGGAGAGATGACGGTGATGTCTAAACAGCCGCGGAAAATGTTCATGATTTTGCCGCGATCGCGGACGACGACGATGACGTTTCCGTGACCGCGGGAGACGACGATAATATCTGCTCGGCCGCGGGAAATGTTTATGATTTTGTCACGACGACGATGACGTTTCCGTGACCGCGGGAGATGGCGATGACGTTTCTGTGACTGCGGGAGACGACGATGAAAATTGATGTCTACACGGCCGCGGGAAATGTCCATGATTTTGCCGTGATGGCGGACGATGACGATAACGTTTCCGTGACCGCGGGAGATGACGGTGATGTCTAAACAGCTGCTGGAAATGTTCAGTATTTTGCCGCGATCGCGGACGACGTCGATGACGTTTCCGTGACCGCGGGAGATGACGATGACGCTTCCGTGACCGTGGGAGACGACAATAATGCCTACACGGCCTCGGGAAATGTTCACGATTTTGCCGCGATATTGGACGACGACGATGACATTTCTGTGACAGCGGGAGATTACGATGACGTTTCCGTGACCGCGGGAGACGACGATGACGTTTCCGTGACCGCGGGAGACGACGATGACACTTCCGTGACCACGGGAGACGACGATGATGTCTACACGGCCGCGGGAAATGTCCATGATTTTGCCGTGATCGAAGACGATGACGATAACGTTTCCGTGACCGCGGGAGATGACGGTGATGTCTAAACAGCCGCGGGAAATGTTCATGATTTTGCCGCGATCGCGGACGACGACGATGACGTTTCCGTGACCGCGGGAGATGACGATGACGTTTCCGTGACCGCGGGAGACGACAATTATATCTGCTCGGCCGCGGGAAATGTTCATGATTTTGCTGTGATCGCGGACGACGACGATCACGTTTCTGTAACCGCTGCAGTCAATGATGATGTCTAAACGTACGGTACGTGGAAGATTTCATGATAAAAAAACCAAATTTGCTAGTTAGAACTTTTTATTGCTGCATTATTTCTTTACTTGAAAACACCACATTATTATAATACTACTTTATCACAAAGACAGGGGTTGGTGTAGTATTATTCAGAAAATTTGGTTAAGCTATAAAAATTGATATCGGTATCAAGAATCGAGAATCGATACATTTTGGTATCAACACCCACTAATTGTTGAAAAAACTAGTCTTGAAAAATCTGGAATTAGTCTTGAAAAGTCTGGAATTAGTCTTGAATTTTATTATGGAAATAAACTAGACACCCTGTTAAACAAACTAGCTTTAAGAAATACAATTATAAATTGTCACGGTTTTTTTTCTTGAGATACTAAGGTTAGATAAGACATTTTAGAGTGACCCCGCCCTTGGATGGTCGAGTTTCTATTGTATTCTGTTTATTGGTCAATAAGTGAAGGATGATAGTTAAATATTCAATCAACCTTTTACAGAGTTATGTAAAGTACATTAACTCGCTGGCAACATCCAATTGGGAGCTAGGACTTAGCCTGTCTTAGTGCATCGCGATGTTTTCTGCACTTGGTAAACCCAATAATCTTTCTCAAAAACAAAAGGATATACGTTGTGAGTTATTAATATTAAACTGACAACTTGAGTATAAAACTCAATTTTTGACCGCATTGAGAACCGAAACAGCATTACCTCAAGCAAACAATCCTGAGCGTTTGACCATGACATCAGTCATCTGCTTATCTTGGTATCCGGGTGGACTAAAGGATTCAAGACACCAACTTTCAAAACTAGATGATGTGAATTGTGAGATAGAGATTAAAGAAAAATAAAACACTAATTTTACTACAGTAGTGATCAAAGTGGTTGGCTTGGAAACTTTTCAACAGTTATTACTTAGTTGTAACATTTACTTCATATCTACAGTGGTTGTAAGCCATAAAAGTACTGCAGCGCTCCTAGTAATAGGAGATATAAATACAAATTGAATTTTATTTGAACTTGGTAGTTCTTTTCTGCTTTTTTTTCTAGATGAATTGTAAAGCACAAGCAAGCTAACAGCTGATAAACAACTAAACGAGAATTCGGTATTGCATCATACATCTTTGTCTTCAAGTTCAGGAATATTAAGATAGAAAAAAGTAAACCTTGAGAAAGAAAATAGTAAATGCAAGGTTAAAATTAAATGTTTGGTTACTTTTTAATATTATTTATGTTAACTTCACTCTTTTCATATGACTAATGTGTCATTGTGTTTTAAATTAACCACCTTGTTTTGATTTATCGTAATGCAGTACATCAATTATAATTACAGTATTTTTGTTTGTTGATTTGATTATTTTTTACAGCGCCGACACTCATAAATGGTTTGATATTTTGTCATAGACGATTACTTCTCGACCGTTGTTAGGTCGTTGGAAACGTTATGTTGTTATTACGAAACTAATGACGGTTATGTAGATTGGGGTTTTCAGGCTAAAACATTGAAATACACAGTCCATCCGATAAAGTCGAATATGTAACAGATAGTGTCATAATATATCGAATTTGGGCTTGGGTCAGATTTGAATATCCAAACCGAATCCGACCCGATTTTTTTAAATATCTGCACACCTCTAATTTAAATTTTAACCCAATATAAATAGACTTAGTTTTAAAATACTAGCAGTGTGACAATGTTCAAAACCATTTTCATCCCTTACTCAAGATGCAATGGCTGAGTAATGCCTAACTAATGTTTAGTAACGTCTTATTAGATTATAGCCAGTTTCACCTTAAGATAAGGCAAGCTACTTGACCGGAAGGGCAAAACAGGATAATGGTTGTTTGATTTATTCTTTGCAGTCACTTGTTACTGAATATATCACTTAAAAGATGTACGAAGATTCAATTCATTGTACAAGAGTGTGGCCAAAAAGAATGATTTATTTTCTGCAGCACACAGTTCAGTACCAGGTCATCTGAGGGGGGTGGGTTAGGCTTGTAGGAAAGCCTACACTCTGCCGTTATCTGTAGTCATAGAGCTGTGGTCGCCTAAGCTACTTGTGTTTGTTATGGAGTCATTTAAAAAAAGTAATGATTCAGTCATTGCAACTCAGCGGCAGTTCCAAGCAATTCTTTCAATTAGGTCGACATTGAGAGGTTCCGTCGTGATTATCTATATGGATAATCAACAAAATTAAACAGTTAGATACAAATTAATCTGTAGGGATGAAAATTAAGATCATACCTCAAAAGTCTTGTAACCAAGCGGTCAAACAGGTTCAAAGCAGACGCTTGTTTTCGGGCAGGCCTTAGAAGACTGTTTTCCCCAGCAGCACAAACTCTATCGAATGTTAGTTGTCTGGCATCCAATCTGACTTTGGACTGCCTGTCAGCTTCTTTTTGAACACAGAAGCCGTTGTTCTAAAGTTAGTAACCTACTGCATGATTGTGTTATGCGACGGAACTTCTCCACGTCGTCATGATTAAAAGAACGTACGGAACCGCCGCTGAGTTGCAATGACTGAATCATTACAATTTAAATACGGCTTGATCACAAACTTGTGTAGCTCAGGCGACCACTGGTCTATGGCTACAGATAATGGCAGTGTGTAGGCTTTCCAACGAGCCTAACCCCACCCCTCTTAGACAACCTGTCGCTAAACAGTGCGCTGCAGAAAATAGATCGGTTTTTTTCCGCACCCTGTATATCTGGGAACAAAAACAAAGTAACTTTACTGTAATCTACGGTATCATAAAACAAATAATATGTTATTTGGCCATGTTTAAGTGTTTAAACATTCAAGTCTAACATGTAAATATGTACATATCTGTATGTAGATATGGCTTGATTATTGTCCAACAATAAGCTACCTGACCATGCAGGCTATAGTTTGAATACACAAACACACATACACACCCTGTATTCCATTGTTACGTTGCGGACTCTGTGCCATTGGACATTGTGTAGCAAAGTGAGGTTTAAACATTGTGACAATGTTAGTATTTTCAATAGTGTGATTCTGTTCTGTTGTATGAGTTTATAACTCGTAAAATGCATAGGGCTTAAAAATACTACATTTACAGCTCTAACTAAATTTTTGGACAAACAGGCTATTAAATTTAACTTAAACGTTATGCGATGCAAATTTTTTTTTGTTCCGACACATTGTATCCAAATTCCAGCCATTTGTGTGTAGTTTGGAATGTGATTAGTTGTGTACTGTGATGCCCATCTAAATTGTTCAAACTCTGCTATTAGCTGTTTTTATGTGTTAAGTTTGGAAGAACAGTGTAAATGTGGCTGATTTCTTTCTGACATATTTTAATTAAATGTGCTTAAATTAAATGTGTCGGCTGATTGGTTGTAAATTAAATATTAGATTAAACTTTTAACCGTGCCAAATTTCATCCACCTTAGAAGAATCATGACCTGTTGGTGTTTTAAAATAGTATGCACAAATCAATTTTTAGATATAAACTATATTTTTACTATGTTTTAAACTTGGCCTATATATGTTAAAGGTGTTAAATATAGCTCTAATAATATTTTAACTTCGAATAATATAATATGATGAATCTAATGTAGGCCTCCTATGATATTTATTAATCCAATATTTGGTAAACAACAGTTGTTAAATGTGTTAACAAGTTTATAATCCATGTTAAATGAAAAAAACATGTTTATCCAGATATTTCAAAATATACTGGAACATCTTTAGTGCACATTATCATCAAAATGTTAACAAATAGTTTTACTTTTATTTCACTCATATTAGTTTTAAGAGATCCTTATATTATTAGGCATGTTCAGTTTTTGACATAAGTTGTTTATTATTAAGTGTTATTTGTTTCTTTTTATAAAATTAATTAATGAATGATTCCAAATAGTTTTATTTGTTTAAAATTTGTATCTTGGTCTTGTGCTTTATTTTACACTTTTTACTTCATACTAAGCTATCAATATTTCAATAAATCACACCTTATTGTCTTCCCTGTTGCAGCAATCCTCAACTCATTAAAATTAATGATATTTAAATATGAAATAAATCTGACAATTTTAAAGGAATAATTTAATCGAATTCCAGTCAGGTAGAGGGAAATTCGCGTAGTCCGCAGGTTTGCTGCAGCGGGGGTATTTCAAATTTCCCTTGAACTTGTAAACCTAACAACATCTACTGTAATTCCTCCTAAAAATGTGTTTGTTGAAAGCACCTTGTAAAGTCAAAGGTCTTTGAAGCTTGTTACTAATGATGTGTCAAAAGATAGTCAAATCACAAAACCACTGAAAATTCATTGCAAAACGTGTACTGCTCTGTACTCGCAATACTATATATTACTATGTCTGGTATTTCATGTTTGTTAAGTACTAAAATAACTAAGATATGAGTACATAGTTTAATTTAGGAGTAAAAATAAAACTCCCGCAACTTTTTATGATGGTATATATTTGTCAAAATATGTTAACAGTTAGTTGATTCTGTTAGTTTAAGGATTTTGAAGTAACCCTCATAAAACACTAAGCAAACAACAACAAAAATAATAAAATATACCCAATAATTTCATAGTTAATAATTAAAATAATCCAATTAGAATTAATTAGTTTAACTTTGACAGTATTTCTGTTGGATTTTCATTTTTTTAATAACTCTGTTTACAAAAAGATGGAAAAAACTGTTGAATGTTGGACAGATTTCTCTTTTCTACCTTTCAAATGTAAAGTTAACTCTAGTAACTGTCTTAGCATTGTAGTTCTTGTGTCTTGTATATAACAAGTCTTGTCCATTTTATATCTGCATGTCAGATTAGTGTCAGTTACCACAATTTTTAAAAGCTCTTTTAGGAATATTAAATGTGTTTTGTTTGTAATAATGAAACAATCAATGCTGGACTCCAGACAAGATTGTGTTGGTTTGGTTTTCTGATGAAACAAGTTGACAACATCACTATTGGTTTGCATTGCTGTATTTGTCGATCAATCCTATACTGTTGTAAAAGCAACTAATTTAATTATTTATTTAGAATACCTTAAGCATACCCAAGGATTTTATTTTAGTTGTAAAAGTTCTTATAACTACTGGCAGTGAGTTTGGAAAGACGCATGATTTACATACAACAGTATTCAGTTTAGAAGACTTTTAACTCGCATCTAAAGTACTTTTTCATCATTTTGTCCGGAAAGTATCTGTTTTTAGTTCTCTAAATCGTCAGCAAAATCATTGTTTTTAGGTAACTTCAAATAGGGAACAGAAAAACATATTCTAAATATTTCAGACTTACCTCAAATTTTTTATTATAGCATTATGAAAACGTTACAAATCACCCAATCTTTAGAGTTATGTTTGTAAATAACAGATTTGTAAACATTGATGACGAGACGACTTTGTACAACCTCAAATTATGTGGTCTAATTTTGTAACGATTAGAAGGTTATTTCCACAGTATGATGAAAATAGGAGTTCATCACACGGGGCAAAAGTGGCTATTTTTGGTACGCTATTACAAGTGAGTTTTTATTTTATTTTACAATTATTATTTATCAATCAATCCATAACACACCCAACACGTAGTTATTGATGATAACTACTATTTCATACATTACTTACCTCTTTTAGGTCTCATCAATGTACATTATTGTTGTTATGACTGATATCTAAATTATGTGACCATTCAGTGTAGCCATTGTGTTGCCTTTGAGCCCGTTGGTATCAGCTGATCAGTATGGTAATTTTTTTACTTCAAAGAGTGCAATTTATTTATTTTGATTAACCATGACCAAGAAACCGTTTCCGATGACGGTTATAACAGTTTCCTCTTACATATTATAGAAAACCTTTTCATATCTGGCACGGGCACGTTCATAAAGGTCTCAGTGTGGGATCTAGTAAGTCAGAAAATATTGTTGAAATAATAATGTGAATAGGCTACCTACCTAAATATTGTTTTTAAGAAACAGATTGTATCACACTTGTGCATGTTTATTAGATCTACTCATTACATTTTGCTATTCCGCAAATAAACACAGAGATGCTGTTTAAGCCAGTTCCTGTTAATAATAAATTTGTGTAAATATCTGTCTACCTTTGTAAATAATGTATTTTTTTATTTTTGTACAATCACTCATCCAGTTAACAAACCAACACAATCAACGACAGGACAATTTCCGGCAATATATGTATACTCTTAGGATAGGTTTAGTTTATTACAGTATTATTTATTAAGTATATTTTCCTTGTGTATAATCACTAGGCTAGTTCTAAGACAAGATATTAAAACATCATCAACCTGCTGTGCCAACTCAAAAAATATCAATTATAGTTTACCGGTACTAATTACTATGGTTATGGATGCATTTTTTTTTTTGTAAATGTTCAATTCCAATGTTTACAAGATTTGAGTAAAATTGCAAAGTTTTTGCATATTATAAGAAGTTATAAATTATGGATGAAAAATATTTTGGCATCCTCTTATCAACTTCTTATTAACTTATTTAAGCAACTGAAAATAGTTAAGACAAGTACTGAGACACTGTAACGTACTGGGTTAAAACCTGTACACAATATTTATATCTTAATACAGGGACGGATTTATACATATTTTCCCCCTAGGCACTATTCTTAGTGCCGCCCCCCCCCCCCCCCTTCATGGTAAATTTTGTACCTAGGACCGAAAATGAGGTTTTGCCGGCTCGTAGTTATTTAAGTTCAGGACTAAGTCAAGAGCTGCAAAACCCTTTCGGCCCGTGGTACGAACACAATTTTTCACCACACTACAAAAATTGAGGGTCATTTTCACGCAATAAATGCACATTAACAGTTAACACAACTACAACTTTAAGGTTCTGTGAAGGAATAATCTAGAAGAACCAGCAAAAATACTAATAAATAGTTGCTAGGCAGCGATGACATGGATGCATAATAAAATGCATATGGATATTGCTGGTAGGCTATATTTTATTTTATATACATTAATGTTGTAAGTAATAAACCACTCACTCGTAAACAGCGGCACCCGTAAGCGGCGGCACTCCTAAGTGGCGGGAAAAACGTAAGGGACGGCACTCGTAAACAGCGGCGCCCGTAAGCGGCGGCACTCATAAGTGGCTCGAAAAACGTAAGGGGCGGCACTCATAAACAGCGGCGGCACTCATAAACAGCGGCGCCCGTAAGCGGCGGCACTCATAAACAGCGGCGCCCGTAAGTGGCGGCACTCAAACAGCGGCGCCCGTAAGCGGCGGCACTCATAAGTGGCGGGATAAACGTAAGGGGCGGCACTCGTAAGTGGCGGCACACGTAAACAGCGGCACACATAAACGGCGGCACTCGTAAGTGGCGGCACATGTAAACGGCGGCACTCGTAAGTGGCGGGAAACACGTAAGTGGCGGCACCCGTAAGCAGCGGCACCGGTCAAGGGCCTGCCGCCCCTAGGCACTGGCCTAGTGTGCCTAGTGGGAAATCCGTCCCTGTCTTAATAAAGAACGAATGTAAACAACGTACTAAAATTATCAATTCCTCATTAATACGGTGCTATTTTTAGGTATTATAATGTTTAAACTACACATTTTTGAAGTTTTTTATATTTTAAGGATGTATTACATTTTCCTGTCTGATTCAAGTTTTGATTCTATGTGAAAATATTAACATAAACATATGTGTAACACCTAAATCTATGTGTTTTTTTTTCTCTTTTTTTTAACTATAGTAGAAATTATGAAAACTAAATTATGTCTTTGCAATTTTTTATAGTTTATATACAGTCCAACCTTGGTATAACGAATCTGATGGGACCGAACTGAATACTCGTTATATCAAGGGTTTTGTTAAAACGAGGTTTGTTATATTTCGGTTAGATTTGCAGGAACTTCGCTAAGTCGAGGTTCAGGACCAGCAGAAAGATGTGAAAAACTGTGCAGAGGAATGTTGCGCAAGCGTTGACGTCATCTTACCATTTTATATTCATCAAGAAACTGTGATTAAAAAAAACAACAATGTGGGGGGAGTTTGTTATATAGAGGGAAAGACGCAGACAATTCGTTAAGTAGAGGTTAAATTCGCTATGTAGAGGTTCCTACAATGTTAAATTTGTTATATTGAGGTGTCTTATTTTAGCCGAGATTGTCAAAAATTTGTTAAATCAAGGTTGTTGATATGGTTTGTTCTTTATGTAGAGGTAATATATACATTGAGTCTTATGGAGTGTTCTAGGAGATTTAAAAAAATCTTTATATCAAGGTTCGTTATATCAAGGTTAGACTCCATTTTTAGGTGAAATATGTAATTTAACTGGATATTGCAGGGTTTTAAAAGCTAAAAATGTTTGTTTTGGTTGATTTTTTAAAATTATGTACAGATTCAAGAACTTAGCTGGATGAAAAAATAATTATTATTGAAAAATAGTTGAATTACTTTTAGATCATAAATAATAATTTTGGCTGTAGATTTAATTGTCTTCTTATTTTAATCTTTGATTGAAATAGTGCAGTTTCGGTATTACAAGCTTGCAATTAATAGTATAACAAGAGAAAGTTCAAGTAACAAAACTAGCACAGTCTTTTGTAGTAGTCGTAGTTTGAAAGTTTATTTGAATTGCACAAATTGTAACAGTTTCAGTGACTGATATACACAAATCTGTAACCCTTACTGAGGACTTACATGAAATCCAATTTATGAGAGATGAACTCATCTAGATTAGCTATTTAATATAAGTTAGCTACTAAGATTTCGAACAAATTATTTATTTATCTTACATCAAGACTAATCCTACCTACAAGCTTATAAAACGAATCACTAACGAATTAGTTTATTACACACGAAGGGGCATATTATGTTATTATTTTGTTGTTGCTGTGATGGGTTGGTTCAACAGTATTTTGAAACTATTTTATTACAACATGAAACACCAATCACTCAAAACATTTACTTTTATAATTAATAATATCAACAGTTAGATCTATCAATTATTTATTTGTAAATGCAGGTCAATTAATTAATGGGTTTCCTGCATTGCAGTGTTTGTATTTTCAAATTCATAGTTCACACAGCTAGCCTCGGACCCAGATGTTGCTCAAGTAGGTGATCTCGTCCAGCCCTCATGCTCTCAGGTCCTCTCATTTTCATTATTATGTGCAAATGGTCAGTCTCATTGTGTTCAAGGTTGTTATTTATGTTTTGCCATACAAGCAGTCTGTTGTTTATATGTTGTAAATATACATATGACGCTATGTACATAGTATTAAACTTTTTGTTTATATGTGCTTATCTTGTGCTTTGTGTTATGTTATGCGTTGTATCCTAGAATAAACTTCGTAAAGAAATTTCCATTGTTTTAATTGATTTTTATCCAAAATAATCAAACTGCTGCACGTAAGCCAACACTGGTTGAAACCCACTTTGGAATTCAGTTTCAAAGTCATTCCAAAAAGTAAGATATATGTGAAATGTATGTGAAACAAAAAGCGAAGTACCAAAAGTAAATTTACCAGTTTGTTTTTGTTATGCAGTACCTGCAAGTGGTTAAGTTTTTGGCTATTTTTACACTGTATGGATTTTTCCCTTTTTTCCTCAGTAATGTGACAAGAAATGCCATTATTAGGTTTGCATTCCTAAAAGGATGTACATTATTGCCCTATTCAATTTCTTTGCATATTTCCTGTAAATTATTATTGATGGTCAATTTTAAACCCAATTTTTGTTTGTACATTTCTGTGTTGTACATTATTGTGTTTTTTAATCATTAAATAAAATATTATTTTGATGACTTTCCATTACAGTATTCACACTCATTTCCAGTCAAATTATGCTGCTATTGCTGCTGGATATGTTATAGAGTGTAGGAGCACTCTAACACTTGATACTAGGACTAGAGCTGGCCTTGTCTGGACAAAATGTCTATCACTTTCTAGATAGCCCTATTTGTACACAGTAAATCCTGAAGTGAAACGACTGACGCCAAGGGAGTCTCAATGCAGAACTGTTCACTGGAGCTATTGGAGCGTGGATAAAGCTATGAGGTAATCTACTTCAACTCAATTTGAAGTTACTATATTTATTGCAATAGTTGTGATTACCTGTAGAGTTTGGAAACACACCAGAGAGTTGTGTCAATTCTGCTAACTTCTACTGTTGTGGTGAGACTTCGGTGCACACTGCACACAAATACTTATACTACTTATTCCAAGAAGGACATTAACCTGGTCTTCACTTTGTGAAGTTCATTCTTGATTATAAAATAGTGCAAACTTTACTCTCGGTAATTGTTAGCTTCACAAGTATTCTCATGGTAGTATGAGTAGAGATCAGTAGTTGTGCATACTAATAATAAATTTTCTTTATCACTGTTAAATACGCACAAAGAGTTTTCAATAAACAAATTTAATTGATGGACGCGTATTTAAATTCATGTTTCTAGTGTTCCTCCAGTGATAGAAGAGACGAAAAGTAAAAAAATACAATATTTCTGCTCCGCTTAGTAGGGATCCTCCCAGGAACAATCCAGCTATCCCTCCAATAGCAACTAGAACAATCAAAACAAATTGGAGCTAACAAATAAAACTTTTAGCATAATCAGAAAATTACAAATTTCTATATTTTTGGTAGCTCTGTGTAAACTTAGCTATACATGTAACCATCAGAACAGAGTTTTGGCTTCTTGATGTTGCCTCGATCATATTGTAAAAATTGCTTGACTCAAGTTCGCTATGTTGATTTTATCAATCAATTAATCAGTCATCTTTATTTGTCTTTGTACATAAGTACAAGAAATTTTGTCACTTCTACATAATATAACAGCTAGTGTACATTTTGCTCGAAATCGAGCAATTGCAAAGAAGTAAAGTAGTTACAGTATGTAAAACAAATAACTTATTTAAAAACTAATAAAAGTCATAATGTCCGATGAGTTTAACCCTTTGAGTGCCAACGTCCGGGGAACCGAACGTTTTTAAAACGAGCCAAAAGTGCCGACGTCCGGCCGACCGGACGTTTTTAAAACGAGCCAAAAGTGCCAACGTCCGGCTGACCGGACGTTTCGTAATGATCGAACAGTTGTCATAACAACCGAATGGATACTCGGATTTTTTTAACCCATATATTAACATTGAGTCGAAAGTTACGAGATGCGATACATCGATTTTTGTTGGTCGAAATATCGAAAATTCGATTTTTACGAAATTTTAACCTAAAAATCGCCAGATCGCGCTCGGCATTTTTAGCGCGACCTTCGGGAAAAATCATCGGCATTTTTTGAGCGTTACTTTTATTTCTCGCCTGGCACTCTAAGGGTTAAAAGATTCATCTTAGATTACGTACCTAACAGTTCCATATAATCAACATTTCTTGTAAATATTTTATCATTTTTCAAAAGCTGATCTGGTTTTTTAGTGTATTCTACAAATCTTTCCCACTTATAGCCGCATTAAATTGTCCATGTTGATCTTCGTCAATGATAATGTAGTCTGCATAGTACTACCGATTGTCGCGAGTACGTTTACAAATTTCAGTCATTTTTCATAGCGATAACATTTTGTTTACATTACTTAAGAACTGCCTGATTTTCTGCATAAGCTCTCTGTCACAATTTTATTTGCTTCAATTGACATTAATTTAGCTAGTTACTGATATAACATAAGTTATATATACCTAAAAAAAATGCAGAATTGAAAAGCCTAATAATGTTCAGATGGTTTTTTTGTTTCCCTTAAATGTGAATAATGCAAATCCTTCAGTGAAAGTTTTATTAAGGTTTCCTATAAAATAGTAACACTTCGGCTAATATCCTTGTTCATTGTTTGTGGGAATCTTCATATTGTAGGTGTTCTTCATTATATAGGGTGATAATGATAGTATATGGTTTTTTTTAATCTCTATTTCTTCTACTTGGTGGCGTTCTATGACTTTCCTATGTTTCCATGGTTGAAAAATCTGTTCTTTCAACGATTGCTACAAGAAATACAGTACCCTGTCAATTCATTTTTCTTATTTGGTAAAATATATCAAATTGCCCAGGCTTTCTAGATTTTTTACATTGTAATATGTAGGAATGTAAATTAAAGTAGTAAATATTAAATTTAAACAAAATCAGTAAATGTACCCAATGTGTTTCGTTGAATTGAAAAAAAATAACAGCAATTAAATTATACAGCTGATCAAAATGTAAACAATTATGTTCTTCATAAGGATAACATGGGAACTTTCAAAGCCACTGGGGCAGAGCCCAAGGGACTTTTTCAAGGGATGTAAGGCCAGTTTGCAAATCTACGTGACACGCTCTTTCCAATGAGACGTAAATTCATAAAATCGGTTAAGAAATGGCGGAGGAGTTCAACCGACAAACATTGTGTTCGCGTATTAATTATATAGATACCTACTGTTGAAAATGACTGTCTCTAGATGATTATTTATATGTTAATTTAATTCATCAGATGTTTTATTTGTTTACATTTTGCAATTAGTGTTTTCCTTTTGATGGATTGTTAGAGTTGGTCTTGAATAGTTATGTCTGATTAAAATTGAAGTTCTTTTTGTACTATGTTTTCTTGAGATTATTTAAAAAGTATACCCCTTTTAGAAGAATCAGTATCGCGTTTTAACATTTGGCGACCGTGACAGGACAGTATGATGAGTGAAACTGATGTTAGAGAATTTAATAAGAACAAGAAACATAGAACTGTTGTTAGGGCAAACTTTTCAAGACTAGTGAACCATTTAAAGGATGAACTTACACAGGAAACGGTTCACTTAGATGAATTGAAAGGTAGGTTTCAAACTGTAAGTATGATTTATGAAGAGTTAAAGAATTTAGACACAAAGATATCTGACCATTTATTTCAATTTGGGGAAAGTGAAGCAATTCTTGAAGAAGAAGTGTCTAAAGCTTATAGTTATTTGGAAACCTACAATCAAGTAAATGTTTTGGTACAAAGTAAGTTGAATGATTCTATAGATTACGATTTGGTCAGTAGTAATTCAGCTAAGAGTGGAAGTTCAAATTTAAAGACTAAGCTTAGACTTCCCAAGATTGAACTAGTACAATTTAGTGGGAATCTTAAAGAATGGCTTCCTTTTTGGGGAATTTTTAAGAGGATAGATGAAGATCCCTCTATTGATGATGTTGATAAGTTCCACTATTTAGTTCAGGCCACTATTCCAAATTCTAAAGCGAGACAAATTGTAGATAGCTATCCTGCTACATCAGAGAATTATAGAGATGCTATTCAGAGTTTAAAAAGTTGTTTTGGAAGGGATGATCTTTTGATAGAAGTCTATGTTCGAGAACTTTTAAAGGTGCTACTCAATAACTTGAGACAAAAGGTAGTGATTTCGACTTTATTTGACAAATTAGAATGTCAAATCAGAGCTCTTGACACATTAGGAGTAACTACTGGTAAATGTGCGGCTATTCTTTACCCATTAGTTGAGTCGTGTTTGCCAGAGGATCTTTTAAGGGCGTGGCAACGTCATCCCGACTTTGATCCAGAAGCTGATTTGAAGAATAGACTCGATGCGCTTTTGAAGTTTCTGCGAATTGAAGTGACAAATGAGGAAAGAATTTCACTTGCTACCTCAGGTTTTGGGGACTCGAAGAGACAATTGGGTAAGTCATCCAAACCATTCTTAAGAGACGAAATGGAATCAATACCAATTGCAGCCGGACTTGTCAACCAAAAGGTTGGTAAACCCCCTATGAAATGTATTTTTTGTGGTGAAAAACATTTGACAGAAAATTGTAAGAGTTGTAGTAATCTGACACATTTAGAAAAGGTAAACCTATTGTCAAGTAACAGATGTTGTTATCGTTGCACAAAGTATGGCCATGTTAGTAAGAAGTGTCATGTTCGACTAAACTGTTCTCTTTGCAATGGTCGACATGCAACAGTAATGTGTAACAAGTCTCAAGATAAATATAATGTAAATTATGTTAATGATAACACTTTAGTACGTTGTGAAAGTAATTTAGCTAATAATGCATTAGAGGAAGTAATAAAGAACGAGCAGCACGTGTCATTTTTGACTCTGGTTCTCAAAGGTCCTACATTTTGAAGAAAACTGCAGAAGAAATGGGGTATGTATCATTTGGAAAGGAAACCCTTAATCATGCATTGTTTGGTGGATCAGTAACAAATGCTGTTGAACACAATCGACTTAAAGTAAGGTTAAGTGATTTGGGTAACGATTACTATTGCAACTTTGAGGTATTAGATCAAGATGTGATATGTAATAATATTTCAGAAATCAAAGCGGGCCCTTGGATAAACGAATTACAGTCTTTTGGTTTTAATGTTTCTGACACTGTAGAAGGGCCAATTGAAGTTTTGATT